TATTCTGTTTGTTATTGGTAGTTATTATTGTCATTTTTTATTAAAAATTTGAAAAAATATTTTGTTGCATTTGTTGATTTTTGACATTACAATAATGGCATTGTCTTATTTGACACCATGCAACTATATTTTATTGATTTTTGGTATTTTTTTCAATTTTGATATTTTTTTTAGTAAAAGTAAAACATATTGCATATGTCTGTCCCGAGAAAACTAATCTTCTCAAAATTATAAAGAAAAAAAAATTGGGTCCAATTTAAAATTGGAAAATTGATTATACCCCAAAATTGTATATTTAGACATTTAGAAAAATTTTACAATGCCGTTTTTCAGAAATCACCCTGTATAAAAAATCTATAAGAAATAATTAAAACGTAAATAGTTGTAATTCTTAGATCGTAGCCTTTATAAAAATAGGTTTTATGGTGGGTTACCACTTAAAAAAAAATTGCAAAAAAAAATTATTGATAAATAAATAAATAATTTAAGCAAAAAACGTTTAGTTTCATACTTTTTGTTATATAGAAAATTTCGGAAAAAAATAGCCACTAATTTTCTCGTCAAGTTGATGGGTTTTTTTAAAGATTTCTAGGATAATCAAGAATTTTTAGAATGATTTTTTTTAACAAAAACTTTTACAAAATTTGTTCAGTAATTACATCGTATGTTTTTCAATAAAAAGGCAAAAATTTTAATGGATTTCTTATTGATGTATGAAATAGTAAATGAAGAAATTTATTTTCACTGAATTTTTTTTTATAAATGAACTATTTTAGTAGATTTCGTTTATAATTGTGTACTGTTTTAGTTCTGAATGAATTATTTAGTTTTAAACGGTTTTAGTGTTTCACCCTTTAATTAATTAATTGTGTTAATTAGAACCCAATGCTTATCGCCACCAATTCGATTACGAAGTCCACCCAACTCAATTAGCCCACGATTTTCACACTCTTCGAAACATTCTACTCAAATATCCAAAATACAAAAAATCGCTTCTTGTGGGGCCTGATGTCACCCGTCCGAGAGTTAACCACAATCAAAGTTGTGTTTATTTGAGTCAATTTTTGGAAACAGGGATTGGGGTGATTGATGCAGTGACATGGCATCAGTAAGTCTAAAAAAAGTTAAATTTTAATTTTAATTAGATATTATTTTAATGGTGCTACTGCAAGAGTTGGTGATTTTCTTGATGTGAGAAATTTCGATTTGCTTCAATCGCAAATCAACACTATCAAAGATATTGTTTATAAAGAAGGGAAGAAAGCGATTTGGTTAGGGGAGACTTCGTCGGCTTATGGTGGTGGGGCCCCTCATTTATCCAATCGTTTCATTGCGACTTTTCTCTGGTTGGATAAACTGGGTTTGGGGGCTAAAAACGGCCTGGATTTGGTTATAAGACAGTCGATTTATGGGGGGAACTATGCTTTAATTAACTTTTATTATAATCCCTCTCCTGTAATTTTTGTGTGTGTCTGTGTGTTTTTTTATGTGCAATTTTTTTTTAATTAGGATTGGTGGGTGAGTGTTTTGTATAAGAGACTTGTGGCCCCAAAAGTGGTTGATTGTCATTTGGGGGAGTCGAAAAGGGTTCGATTYTATTGTCAATGCACACCGTTTAAGAGTTATTTTGGTAAAACTCCTTCAGTTACCGGTGATTAATTAATAAAATTGTTTGATTGTGGTGTAATTTTTTTTTTTAAGTTTTCGGTCTGAATTTACACAATCGTAAAGCTAAAATTCGTTTCGAGGGAATTACCCCTGTGAAGGATTTGCAAGTCAATGCTTATGTTTTAACAACGTTGGAAAGAATCGATTCAAGGTAACCTATTTTGTGTCGTTTCAGTTTTTTTTCTTCATTTTTGTAGATTTATTTTTCTGAATAATCGTTTGCTGAAATTGACTGAAACTAATGATGTGCCAAATCTACTTCCAATCACAATTCCAGCTGAGCCTTATGTCGAAATGCCGCCATTTTCGTTGGCATTTTGGGTGGTTCCCATAACCAATAATGTGCTTCCTTTTTGTTAATTTTTGTATTTATTGTCGTTTTTTTATATTATAATAAATTTATTCGAATTTTTATTGGTTGATGTACTAATAGAGGATGTTTGAGTCTCGATAGGAGGAAAGCTGAGTCGGATTTAACTTCAAAGGCACTTGAAAATTGCGATCTTGCCACTTTGAAATCGCTGGCTTGGGAATCGTGCTTGAGTGGCTTTTAATAACCACCAAATTGTCGGATAAGTCTTCCTACCCGTATTTTCTATATAATATATTAAGTGTTTTAAAGTGTGTAAATTAAAAAAACTAAAAAAAACCGAATTGTTTTATTTTACTCCATTTCCGGTTTGAATTATTAAACATCAGTCTTTACTAGCGATTTTCTCAATAACTATTTATCGCGAAACATTGATCTAGGATTAAAAGTGTTTTCCAACGGTACCAAACTCTGGGGAATATTGATAATAGTTGCGATGATAAAAATCGAAAAAATGGAAAACCTCAAAATTCATTCATGAAAAAAGACTGAGAAACCCAAAAATTGTTTTGAAAAATTAGTGTATGAATGAACAGAAACACTGCCAGGGGCGTGGTGGCGCAGTGACACTTCGACCTTGAATGCTTTTAAAATTGTAGGTGTTTTTTAACACCTCTGGAAAATTTTGCGTTTCTGACTAAAAAAATAGGTTTAGCAAGAAATTCACATATTTCGTAAAATATTGTCAAAAAAGTTTTAAAATGCCAAATTGAGTCATAATTGAACTATTTCGAGAAAAATTTCTTCAAAAAAAGCCAAAAGACTCTCCAAAATACATCAAAATTAACGTTATCTGAGCTTGTTTCGATTGAGTTAGCTTGTGTTTTTGAGCAAAAACCAAAAATTGTTTGTCAAAAAAGCATTTAATTGGAATTTAAGTGAAAAGTAATTTATGAATATTTCAAAAATTATTACAGAAATTATCAGTGTTTTAAATAAGTTTTCTGAAAATTTTTGAAGAAGTTTTGAAAATCACCAAAAAATGTTTAATTTTCATTGTAGTTTTAGGACTTATTTGAACAAATCTACTGAATAAAACGAGTTTCAGGCTTAACTTTTTGAAAAAAAAATGATTTTTTGTTTCATCACGAGATTGAATACATGAGAAATCGTGTGAAATAACACTCATTTTCATCTAATTTAGTGATTTTTCCATAAAGTGGCTTAAAAATGTACTAAACGTTTGAAAAAAAGCAAAAATAACGTAATTTTTTACCTAATTTCTTGTTTTTTTTTGGCGTGTTTTTGTCAAAACATGACTTAAAAATCGAAAAAAAATAGATTAAAATTGACATTATAATGACCTGTTTTGAGAAATTGTGCTCATGTTTAAGCAAGATTTTGTCAAAAAAACAAAATGGATCGAAATTGGCGTTATTTTATACTGTTCTAAAAGATTTAGCTCGTTTATGAGAGAAACTCATTTATTTCCCAATAATTTCTTCAAAAAAGCCAAAATTCAACAAATAAAGTCAAAATTGTTTTAGCAATAGGTAAGTTTACGTGTTTCGTAAAATTTTGTCAAAAAAGTTTTAAAATACCCAAATTAACTCATATTTTGACCCATTTCGAGAAAAATTTCTTCAAAAAAAATCAATTAACTTACCAAATTACATGAAAATTAAGGTTATTTGGGCTTGTTTCGATTTTTTTTTGTTTTTTAGCAAAAGAAAAAAAATTGGAAAAAAAAAGCATTCAATTAGGTCAAAATTTGCAATAACTTGTATAATATCGGAAGATTTAGCTTGTTTTTGAGTAAGAAACTCACTTATTTTGTGAGTTTTTATCAAAAAAGGCCAAAAAAATTAAGCGAAAAGCTTACTGAGTTTGTCAAAGGAAAATGCCAAAAATTACCAAATTAGATCAAAATTTAATTATTATTTAATTAATGTTTTTAATAAGTTTTCTGAAAATTTCTGAATAGCTTCGGAGTTATTAGTGATAAAAATCGAAAAAATTAAAAATTGATTCAAATGGTCTGAAAGACTCCGAAAAACGCAAAAACGTTGTAGAAACGCAAAAATTGTTTTAAAAAATTTATTGTATGAATGAGCAGAGACACTGACCAGGGACGTGGTGGCGCAGTGAAACTTTGACTTTGAATGCTTTTAAAATTAATTTTTTTAAAAGAAAAATTTAAACTAAATCTATATTGACAGTTACTAAAAAATTAAGCTGCGTGGGAGTTGATCGGCAACAATGATGCTTCAGCACTCTTAATTTCAGGGGAAAGAAGGGGTGGTAAGTACCAAGTGCATAAGAAGGCTTTTCAGCCTCTTCAGTTTTCAGTCGGATATTTTCAGCCGCAAATGTTCTATTCTCAATAAATATGACATTGCATTTTGCAAAATATAACAATAAACTTTGTGAGTACATTTGAAAATTGGATTATTATCTCTACAACTGCAATAATGGATTGCGGTAAAATGTTTCTCTTTATTTTTCTGCTTCTGTATGACCGTATTAGTGCCGACATTGCGTAAGTACCATTTTTTTGTTGCTAATTTGTTTATTATTAACTATAGAAAAGCAAAATTGAGTAATTGGTGCAGTTAGTAGGACAAATTTTTGTATAAAATTTCAGATTTTTTTTTGAGTGATGCTTGATTAGCAAACCTTAACTTCAAAAAATCATATCTTGAAAACTACTCGGTATATTTTTTTGGAAATTTGGATTACAACTAATAAAGAGATGCTCTACACGATGGTAATGATGAAAAAAAAATCATTCGTAGGGTTTTTCTTAGATTACTTCGAACACTGTTGGAAGAAAAGTTTGCCAATATTCAATTTCAAATTTTATATCATTCTAAAAGGCAAAGCCATCCCTTTAAAATGGTTTTTATTTGAAGAAAATCGGCCTAATAGTTATTGAGTAATGATTTTTTAAAGTTAAAGTATTAGGCAATTAATTAGATCAAAATTGACAATAATTTGTATAATATCCAAAGATTTAGCTTGTTTTTGAGTAATGACGTGTTTCAGGTCCAGAACAAGGCAAAAATAATGTCATTTTTGGTAGTATTTACCACAATTTTTGCGAATAAACTCGAAATAATCTAAAATAGAGTAATTTTGTAATAAACTTTGATCATTTTTGGCTTATTTTGACGARATCTTGAGGAATACACGAGTTTCTCGATCAAATTTAGTCATTTTTTGGCTTGTTTTAGCTAAATCTTGTAAAAATAAGTTTTTGGCTTAAAAACGTGTAAGTGTTTGAAAATGGCAAAAATAATAACATTTTTAAAAAATCCAATTTGGTGTTTTTTGGGGAATTTATTGAAAATTTGCGTTTTTGATTGAAAAGCATGTCAAAAGGCTCAATAAAGGCAACAGTAATGATATTTTTCAGTTAGTTTAGTGATTTTTCGAGATACTTTGGCGATTTTTTTGGCTTTTGAGCAAAATATATTATAAAATCTCGTTAAAAAACTATTTATTCCTCAGAAACGTGTTTAAAGTCTCAAAAAAGGCGAAAAAAATGTCATTTTTTAATTAATTTAATGATTTTTCCACGTATTTGGAGTAAAACACAATATGAAACTTTTAAGGAAATTGGCGTTTTTTACCTTGTTTCTCTCAATTGCAATGAACAAGAAAGTCACTCATTTGACAGGTTTTTGTCAAAACATGGGTTAAAAGTCGAAAAATAATAGACGAAAAWTGACCTGTTTTGAGAAATTTTGCTCATGTTTAGGCAAGATTTTGTAAAAAAAGACGAAAACCCAACAAAATGGATCAAAATTAACGTTATTTTATACTGTTCTTGTTTATGGAGCAATGCTTGATTAGCAAACCTTAACTTCAAAAAATCGTATTTTGAAAACTACTTGGTTTATTCTTTTGAAAATTTGGACCACAACTAATAAAGAGATGCTCTACACGATGGTTATGATGAAAAAAAAATTACTCGCAGGGTTTTTCTTAGATTATTTCGATTTACTTCGAACTTTTTCGAAGAAAAGTTTGCCAATATTCCATTTCAAATTTTATATCATCCTAAAGGGCAAAGCCGTCCCTTTAAAATGGTTTCTAAAGTTAAAGTATTTTAAATTCATTTAAATTAGAAAAAAATATTTTGTTTAAAGTGTGTGGACTTTTTAATTTTTTTTTAGTGCATTTATGATATAAAATTTGTCAAGTTGTCACCTTGTGTTATAGAAAAGCGAAATTTGTGTAATTGGTGCAGTTAGTAGGACAAATTTTTGTATAAAATTTCTGATTTTTTTTGATGAATAACAAAATTTGGTAACTATTCCAACCCTTAGTCAGTATATTTAGTGGTGAAATTTTTTTCCCTTGCGTAGAACAAAGGCCATTATCTCTACTTCCATCGCCCTCCTCCACGTCCTCGAATCGATCTCGGTGACATTTTGTAACATTTCCAGCCTCTGTCCTCTAGATTTTTACCACGAGCAATTTGCGGAAAGAGTGGAACCCGAACGTGAAGAACCGACGTAGGTTTCCGCTTCCTTGGTGCGCAGTTTGTGATCACGTGATTGGTTCTAGCACCGGCTTGACCATCCACGACATCCTCCCCGAGGACCCCAAGAAGTACGACAAAATGCGCCCTCCGAAGAAGGACGGCCAACCCACCAAAGTCTACTTCCACGTCACTGTCATGGGGTTGGACAGCATCGACGAGGGGTCGATGACATATGCGGCTGATATTTTTTTCGCCCAGACTTGGAAAGACCACCGATTGCGCTTACCCGAAAATATGACCTCCGAGTATCGATTGTTGGAAGTTGATTGGTTGAAAAACATGTGGAGGCCTGATTCGTTTTTCAAAAACGCCAAAAGTGTCACGTTTCAGACCATGACCATACCGAACCACTACATGTGGTTGTATAAAGACAAAACCATCCTGTATATGGTCAAGTAGGTCGAAAAATCGGAAAGAATTGAGATTTGAGATTGTGGTTTTAGGCTCACATTACGGCTTTCATGCGCGATGAATTTCATGATTTARCCTCACGATACTCAAGAGTGTAAATTGCAGATGGAGAGTCGTGAGTTACTCACGAGTATTCCGTGCCAAAACGATCAGATTTTTGTAAAAAAATGGAAATTTCACATTTTTTTAAATGATAATTAAAAATATGTTGGCGTTTTTTACCTGGCTTCTCTCAGTTTTGGGCAAGAAAGTCACTCATTTGACAGGATTTTGTCAAAATAATCGAAAAAAATTGGCGTTATAATGACCTGTTTTGAGAAATTTTGCTCATGTTTAAGCAAAATTTTATCAAAAAAAGAGGAAAACCCTGCAAAACGGATCGGAGTTAACGTTAGATGAGAGGGAAATTTATTTATTTCTCAAAATTTCTTCAAAAAAGTAAAAATTTAACAAATCAAATCAAAACTGTTATGCCAGAAATTCGGGTATTAAAATTTTGTGAAAAGAGTTAAAATCGCCATAATTGACCTATTTCGAGAAAAATTTCTTAAAAAAAAGCTCACCAAATTACATCAAAATTAACGTTATTTAGGCTTTTTGGTT